ACTGTAGGTTCTGTTGGTCAGTGAACACATCGTTAGAACTGTAGGTTCTGTTGGTCAGTGAACACATCGTTAGAACTGTAGGTTCTGTTGGTCAGTGAACACATCGTTAGAACTGTAGGTTCTGTTGGTCAGTGAAGGCATCGTTAGAACTGTAGGTTCTGTTGGTCAGTGAACGCATCGTTAGAACTGTAGGTTCTGAACCCGGTTCTGTTCTCAGGACTTTGGACCTGGGTTTTGAGAAGGACCTGACGGTCATATTGAACAGTCTGAACTCGACAGGACCGGCCCGACAGAACGTTCTGCTGTCTGCGACTCTGACACAAGGTTTGTTGTTACTGTTTGTTTGTTTGTTTGTTTGTTTGTTTGTTTGTTTGTGCGGATCAGAACCATGGTTCTGGTTGGTTTTGGACCCGCCCAGGTCACCTGTTTGTGTTCCAGGTGTGACCCGGCTGGTGGACGTCTGTTTAAAGGATCCAGTTAGTATTCACGTTTCTGGCTCCGCCTCCTCTGACATCACCGCAGCAGCCGGCCAATCAGAGAGCTTCTCGGTCCCAGAGGCCCTGCGGCAGTTGGTGGCAGTGGTTCCCAGTAAACTCCGGCTGGTCTGCCTGGCTGCGTTCCTTCTGGAGAAATGCAAAGTAAACAACAAACAAACAAACAACAATGTTGATGATGTCGTGCTGTTGTCATGGAGATCTGACAAACCGCTGATATTGCAGTTTTCTGACAACAACAAAGTCATCGTGTTCGTGTCGAGCTGCGAGGCTGTGGAGTTCCTGCACACGCTCTTCACCTGCGTCCTGTCCAAGCAGCCGGCCAATCAGCAGCTGCGCTTCCTGCGTCTCCACGGCAACATGAAGCAGGAGGTAACGCCCACTTGTCCCGCCTCCTGGTCCTCCTGCTCCTCCTGGTCCTCCTGATCCTCTGTGTTTCCTGATTCTGAGGTTTGTTTGCTCCTTCAGGACCGCTCCCAGGTCTACGAGGAGTTCTCTGCTTCTGGGTCCGGAGTTCTGCTGTGTACGGTCAGTGACTCACACCTGTGCTCACCTGCTGGACCAGGAGGTCACCTGCTGGACCAGGAGGTCACCTGCTGGACCAGGAGGTCACCTGCTGGACCAGGAGGTCACCTGCTGGACCAGGAGGACTATTTACTTTATACAAACTGTAACTGATTTTCTCCTGGTTCTGGTTCAGGATGTAGCAGCTCGAGGGTTGGACCTTCCTCAGGTCACCTGGATCATTCAGGTAAACACCGGAACAACAACAGTTACTGTCAGGAACATTTTCCTGTGATGTCATCACTTCCTGTGCTACTTTTAGCTTTTAGTTATTATGTTAATGCTTTAGCTAACATTGTGCTATATTTAGCTTTAGGCTAATGTGCTGCTTTTAGTTATTTTGTGCGTTCTCTAGCTAACATTGTGCTACTGCTGTTATTGTGCAGTTTTTAGCTAGCATTGTATTCCTTTTAGCTTATCTTATGCTACTTTGAGCTAGTTTTGTGCTTAATTTAGCTAGCCTGTTGCTACTTTTGTAATGCAGCTAGCATCATGTTGTTTTTAGTTTTCAGCTATTGTGCTCATTGAAACTTTGAGCTAGGTTTGTGCTCCTTTTAGTTCACATTGTGCTGCTTTTAGCTAGCATTGTGCTACTTTAGCTTTTAACTAGCATTTTGCTGCTTTAGTTAGCCTTGTGATACTTTCATATTTCAGCAAACTTTGTGCTACTTTTAGCTAGTATTGTGCTGTGTTTAGTATTTAGCTATTGTGCTGCTTTTAGCTAGTGTTGTGCTAATTTTAGCTAGCCTATTGCTACTTTTAGATTGCAGCTAACATTGTGCTATATTTAGCTTTAGGCTAAAATGCTGCTTTTAGTTATTTTGTGCTTTCTTTGTGCTACTGCCAGTATTGTGTTATGTTTAGCATTTAACCATTATTGTGCAGTTTTTAGCTAGCATTGTCCCTTTTAGCTTATCTTGTGCTACTTTTAGCTAGTTTTGTGCTTAATTTAGCTAGCCTGCTGCTACTTTTGTAATGCAGCTAGCATCATGTTGTTTGTAGCTTTTAGCTGTTGTGCTCATTGAAACTTTGAGCTAGGTTTGTGCTCCTTTTTAGTTTACATTTTGCTTCTTTAGTTAGCCCTGGGATACTTTTGTAATTCAGCTAGCATTATGCGAGTTTTAGCTAGTATTGTGCTATGTTTAGCATTTAGCTAGAATTGTGCTGCTTTTAGCTAGTGTTGTGCTAATTTTAGCTAGCTATTGCTACTTTTAGATTGCAGCAAACATTGGTATTTTTAGCTTTGAGCTAGATTTGTGTTCCTTTTTCGCTAACATTGTGCTGCTTTTAGCTAGCTGTGTGTGGGTTTTGTTTAGCTAGTGTTTTGGTGTTGATCTTCAGCTCATGAATGAACCTGATGATTTCAGCCAATCAGAGAGCAGCATTTCACACCTGCCTGTGTTCCAGTACACTCCTCCCACCTCGGCGGCAGAATACGTTCACCGTGTCGGTCGGACGGCTCGGATAGGAGGAAGAGGAAACGGCCTCCTCTTCCTCACCCCCACTGAGACGGCCTTCGTCACGGAGCTGGCCAATCACAACATCAGGTGGGTTGACTGACAGCTGCTGAGCTCAGGTGTGTGTGGAGCTGCGCACTGACGGGATGGCTTCTGTCCTTTCAGCCTGTCGGAGGTGAAGCTGCAGGACCTCCTGTCCTGCCTCATGATGGACGACGCCTACAGGGGGCGGGGCAAGTACCACAGCCAGGTGGGTCACCTGGAACCTGCAGGACCTGCAGCGTGAAGGTTTCACCTGGAGTCTGTTAAATCAGTTCAGACAGTTCCTCCAGAGACCCGATGTTTGTCTCGTCAGGATGAAACGGCTGTCAACACACACACACACACCTGTCTGCTTTGAATTAACCTTTATTTAAACGCGTGTTGAAGACGAGCGCTGCAGGTGAGGCGTTCAGGGGCGCCTCGGTGTTCAGGTCACAGCGTGTTTAATGTGACAAACAGCAGATGAATCCAAACATCAGTGATTTAAATGTTTTCAGCATGTCGGCCCGACTTTACAGGATGAATTAAAATAAAAAAAACTTTAATGTTTTTGTTTTTTCCTCGGGGGAATCTGCCGCCGCCTCGTTTCCTCTGATGCTTCCTGAACAAACGGCGAGGAGGAGACATCAGAGGAGACAGTCTGTCAGACTTCCAACCAGCTGAGCGGGGCCTTCAGGTGCCTCTGAGACCTGATCCAGGGTCACCTTGTTTTATTTACCACATTAAAAACAAGAAAAACCTCTGAACAAAAACACACAGACAGAAAAACAAGTTCTGAACGAGTCAAAAGAACCATTTTCACAGAAATAAACAGTTTGTTTTACAATAAAACATTTAAAATTCAGCCGTTTTAAAAATTTCACAAATGTTTTTATATTCCTTCGTATTTATTGGTCCAACATGGAGGAAGCAGCTGAACTCACCCAGAGCATAGAGTCTACTGTATAATCCTTTCAAAATAAAATACCAGTGGTGGGCACAGTTCCACTAATCTGCTAATACCAGAACTAGCTTATCATTTACAGGATTAGCTGTTTAGTTAACTTTTGCAGACAGTAAGCTTCTGCCAAATTACGTTCAGCTAATTTAAACTAAAAATAATATTTTATTCATTAAATTTCTGTTTTTATGTCGTTTATTCTAAAGTAAATAAAAACAATCCACTCTTACTAGCAGTGCTGGACGGGTCGAACAAYGTGTGTGTGTGTTAGCATGTAGCATCTTTAGCAGCTAAACTTTAAGAGGTGATAGTAGATACGTATTTGCTGTTTGTTGTTTGATGAAGTTCAAACACTGGTTTGGATTGGCTGAGCTGCTACAGATGATCCCGCCCACCTTCAAATTAAACCAATAGAAAACAAACAGGTCTGTCTTAGCAGTTAGCGTTAGCTGCCACTAATCTGTTTAGTGTTAGCCGAGCTAAGATTCTTGTTTAGTGGATTAGTGGTTTGTGAAGCTAACTGGTTAGCTTTGTCCACCACTGCTAAGATACAGAGGCAGAAACAGATTTTAAGATGCTCTGAGGTTTATTTTATTTTTATTTTTTTGAGTGTGGTCGGCTGTAGGTGTATCAACAAAAAGAATATTTTGAGCTCATATGGTGAAGGTTAATGTGAATGTGAGCTACAGACACACACTGAGTGAAAAGAGACAAAAAATCTCTACAATTTGATGTATAAACAAAACTTAACAGCTCCAAACTGTGACGTCATTGCTCTGTGTGACGTCGTCGTCGGTCTGTGTGATGTCATCAGTCTGATTCATCGGTCTGTGTGTGATGTCGTCGGTCTGTGTGACGTCGGTCTGTGATGTCATCAGTCTGATGTCTTCGGTCTGTGTGTGATGTCGTCGGTCTGTGTGACGTCGGTCTGTGATGTCATCAGTCTGATGTCTTCGGTCTGTGTGTGATGTCGTCGGTCTGTGTGACGTCGGTCTGTGATGTCATCAGTCTGATGTCTTCGGTCTGTGTGTGATGTCGTCGGTCTGTGTGACGTCGGTCTGTGATGTCATCAGTCTGATGTCTTCGGTCTG